CTTAATTCCTTCTCTACACTTCTTCTCCATGCTACCAGATATATCCTTCTCTTCTCCTTTTCTTGTTTCTTTTTATTTTTACCTTTTTTTAAAAAAAATTAGTGTCTCTCTCTTCTTTGTTTTTGTTATTTGTTTTTTTTTTATCTTCTCAACTTCGCTTATAGTGGAATTAAGGTAAGATTTTTTTTTGTGTGTTTTTTGCTTTATATTTGTGTTTTTTTATTTTTTATTCTTAATAATTATTGGAATTTTTTCATATAAGAATAATTTTGTTGTATTTAAATGATGTATTAGAACAACAACTCTTCTAAAAGCAAAATGGTTTAAAACTTGGTTGTTGTTCTTTAACTTATTCTTCCAATCATATTTGAAATTTTCAAGGTCAAGAAAACTTAAATATGACACAACTACTATTGAGTTGTAAGCATCAATTTTAGATACCAAAACTCACTCATGTTTATCAAACTACCCGAATAAAAACAACTACCCTCTCCAATGCTTATTAGACATGTAATATATACTTAAGTTTAGGTTACTTGTCTTTATCAATTACAAGTTCAAGTTATAAATTTAGATTGATTTTTATAGGATATACAATATAATATTATTATGATAATAATTGTATATATTAAAAAAAAATTACAGAAAAGAAGCTTTGCTATTTATAAAGTAAAATTCTAGTTAAAAAATAAAGATTAGATAAGTAGGATATATATAAAATGTTCACTGAAATTTTTTAAATAACCAAGATTCCTAGCAATTGCTTAACTTGGTGTCACATTATAGAATGTTCACGCATGTATTGTAGCAATATTTTATATTTTTTTATGTTCAACAAAATTTTTTTGAATGACCAAAATTTCTAGTAATTACTTAACTTGGTGTCATATAATAGAATGTTCATGCATGTATTGTAACAATATTTTTTATTTTCATCGAATTCAACACTTCAAAAATTGAATAAAGTCAACTAGTTTATGGCAACCAAATTTAGGCCATGTTTGTTTTCTGGAAAATAGTTTCCGGAAAACCACTTTCCAAACTTTCCTGTGTTTGTTTGTTATTAGAAAAGTTAGTCAATGGAAAAAATTTTCCGGTCAACAAAAAACACTTTCTAGTAAACGGAAAACACTTCTGATCAACGAAAAATATTTTTCAGTCAAAGAAAAATTTAGCTTGGTTTTCAGGAAAGTGTTTTCCATTTTAGCTGTGTTTGTTTTTTGGAAAGTGGTTTCTGGGAAATCACTTTCCAAACTTTCTTGTATTTATTTGCTGTTAGGAAAGTTGGTAAACGGAAAACACTTTCCAGTCAAAGGAAAATTTGGCTTGATTTTCATGAAAGTCTTTTCCTGAAAAATTTGAGAGGAAAACACTTTCCGGAAGTTGTGAAAAATTTAGAAATGTTATTATTTGCTGATTATATCAAATTTGATCCTCAAACTTTTGATTGCTATATATATTTTATTTTGAATATTTATTTTTCAATTTCATTTCTTAAAATTTAATTTTTATATTAACTTTGGTCCTCATTCTTATAATTGTTATTTGCTTTTCTCCTATTATTTTTTTATTAAAATTTTTTATCTATCAAATTTGATCCTCATTCTTTTGATTGTTACTTATTTTATTTGAAATACTTTATGAAATATTAATTATTATTATTTTAATTTCTTCATCTTTTTTTCTTTTAGATTTGATCTTTATTATTTTGATTATTATTTATTTTATTTGAGATAATTTATGAATTTTTTTTTTCAATTTCATTATTATTCAACTTTTTAATTTGTAAGATTTGTTCCTCATTATTTTAATAAACTTGAGAAAAATAAAACATTAATAAATTATTTTCCAGTTTATTTTTCATAACATAACTAAACACTGAAAAGTGTTTTCCAATTCATTTTCTATAACACTACTAAACATCGAAAAATAATTTACTTTTAAGGAATTTACTTTCCCTGAAATTCACTTTCCAGGAATTCATTTTCTTCGGAATTCACTTTTCAAAAGAAAACAACTTTTCTACAAACAAACGAAGCCTTATATCCATATGTATTTGTAAGTAATCAAAATTTGGATAGTATTCCCGTATATGAGAGGTGTTACTGTTTTTTTAATAAAAAATAGGAATGATTTACAGTATTTTAATCTTTTAATTTATATAAATGCCTTGGAAAAAGTCAATACCGTATTATACAGACAAGATCACTGCTAGTTCTTCTTACACTAATGATTAGTACTTAAAAGTGTGTTTTTATCATGGTTTTATATCATCATTTTGCACTTGAAGTATCAATAACTCCTTAACTAAAATATGTTTTATAATAATGTATCTAATAAGATAAGATACCTATAATTTGTGGTAAATGTCTATTTTTAATGCAGGTCTATCACATAAATGAAAGGATTGATTGATGACTTGAAGAACTTAAATTGCATGGATAAAGAGATGGTCAAACTTAGAGAAGAGATGTCGGTGCAATCCAAACCGGAACACTGTTTGGTAATTGGGTCATATCTGGAGCTACAGATCTCAGATTTAGGTCCAATTTATATGGATGGAAAGGTAAGACATAGGCCTACAACTTTTATATGGAGCCCAAGATCTAAAAAGGCCATTATCAAGTCCAAATTGTAGCAACAACAAAGAAGCCTGAATCTGTCTTCCAGCCCGAGCACTGTTCGGTATTTTGGCCATATCTGGAGTTCTAGAAGTCCAAATGAGCTAAATTTTTTACACAAGAAAGCTGAGACAATTTCCTACAACTTTCATGTTTGCAAGTGGCTCCAGTTTTGACGTTATCAATGACGTTGTGGGCAGACAAGAGAAGATAAGGATTGTCACCAAGTCAAAAGTTGGCCACCCACTTATCAATTAGTCATCAAATCAATAGTTCCCAATTTTGGCCTATAAAAGGAGGCATTTGCCATGCATTTAGACATCTTGGTTTCCAGATCAAGATCATGCTCTTCTTTTCTCTCTTTGTATTTTTTGTAATGTTTATGCTTTACTTTCATTAATATCAAGTCTATGCCTTTCATTTCCTTTCCTTTACTTAGTTAACTTTTATGTTCTTATTTTGTTTATTTGTTTTCCTTTCTTTCATTATGTCTAGCTAAGTTAATTATGTCAAGGTGAAAAGGTTACACTAATGGTGTAAGAATAAGTATAATGTAAACTTAATATGAACTTTAATGTTTGATACTAACATGTTTTATATTTGTTATCTTGTTCACTCTTTAATACTTTACTTGTTAAATGACTAATCTTGATTTATGTTGTATAACACTTGGTACAACAAATGCTTGGCACTTTCATAGCCCATAATGTATGGTATAACCGACACCTGAGCTATGAAAGGAACTTGATTTGTTGTTAACATAAGTTATAATCATGAATGCTTGACGAGATTTACAAGTATTAGCATTAATTGAATAGTTATTTGTAATTTGTACAAATAACCTCCCTGTGGTTCGACCCCGGTCTTGCCGGGTTATTTATTGCTTCGACACTCCTGCACTTGGGAAAAGACATCAATCTTTTAGTCGTGTCAACTAATTCTAACAATTATAAGTTATTAATTTAGCAGTGATTCTGATAACTATGAATTGCTAGGAGCCAGCCATGAATAAGCATTTAAGTCACAAGTACCCATTCTCAAAGCTGGTGCATTGAGTTAATAGTCATCACACTAAGTGGAGGTCTCTTCACATCGAGATTTATTTAATAGGAAGTATCATGCCTAATAAAAATCCGGTCACTCAATGTAAATTTGTTTTCCTTTCATGCAGTACTAAAAAATAAAAAATAAAATTAATATAATTATTAATAAATTTAGAAAAAGTAATTATTAATAAAAAAATTTATTATTAATATTGAAAAATAACCATAAATTTGATTTGAAAGGTAAAATTTAAAACTATAAGAACTTGAGTAAAATATGTTTAATATTATGATTAATATTGTAAATATTATTATTGTCAATATTATTAATATAATTATTAATAAATTTGGAAAAAGTAATATTATTATTGAAAAAAACATAGATTTGATTTGAAGGGCTCCTCTTCTTCGTAACCCGTTAAAGTTGATATTCACATTAAGTTTATTTTTAAGTTTTAAAAATATTTTATTTTAATATATCTTAAAATAAAAAATTATTATTATTATTATTATTATTATTATTATTATTATTAGTGTTATTCTTATTCTTAATATTCTTATTATTTTTATTATTATTAAATTTTAAAAAAATATTATTACTATTGAAGAAAAATCATAAATTTGACTTGAAGAAATTAAAAACTATAAAAATTTAGATCAAATAAGTTTAATATTATTATTTTATTATTATTAGAAGAACTAGACCCCAAAAACTTAGGTCCGGCTAGGATGATAAACCCGAGTTTATAATCATTAGTATTATTTTTATTATTGTTATTGTTATTATTTTTATTATCATTATCATTAATAAATTTTTAAAAAATATTATTACTATTGAAGAAAAACCATATATTTAATTTCATTTGATAAAAAACTATTAGAATTTAAGTCAGACAAGGTTGATATTATTATTAATATTAAAAATATTATTATTTGTATTATAAATATTATTATTATTATTATTATTGTTATAAATATTAATCTAAAATTAATCATTGCAATGAAATTTAAAACTCTTAAATCTAATTTTACAGATAAAACTAACTTTATATATAAACCTAATATTACTTAATGTTAATTTTTTTGATATTTTTTATACTAAAAATAATTGACCAGAGGAGACAGCTTTTCTTAAATTCTACTCTTCCCCCTTAAAATAATTTAATTTTTTTTAAAAAAATCTATCGCTCTCTAAAAATTATCGGGCCTATTTGTAACCGGTATGCATAAAGGGCCCAAGTGTGTAGCTAGAGGAAAATCAACCCGACCCGCTTCAGAAAACAAATCGTTTGGAACCAAACTATAAATAAAGTCGGTTCTTGGGTTGTTCTCCTTAACAATAATCTCTACTGCATCTTTCTCACTCTGAGAAAGACTCTCTTTCTGTATAAAACCCTAGCATATCGAAAATCTCCAATTTCAATCCTCTCTACAGCTCAGTAAGTTCTTCTATTTCCATTCATTAATTTATTTTAAAATTTTATAGATTATCTTTGCTTGGAAATTAATCATCTTTTTTGTTATGTTATTTACTGATTAGGGTTTTCAATTTCGAGATGAATGACTGGTTTCAGTTATTGATAGGTTCTCTTGGATTGGGAATTTGGCGGGTTTCGTTTGGTTTGTGATTTTGCTTTTGGGTTACTCTGAACTAATCAATTCTTTTTTTATGGCAACTTGTTATTTGCAGGTTTTTTTTTTCTTTTTAAATCTAAATTTGTGGGGTTTTCTTTGGTGTGGAGCTGGTTTGATGCGGCTTGTTTTTGAGATTTTTGATCGAGTCTTGGAGAAAAAAGAATGCCAGCCGCAGCAATCTTATCGCTTCCAGCACCTCCTGTTGATGGAGATGGGTCTCCTCCTCCACCATCCCAAGTGATAGAACAGCAGCCAAGGGAAGGTAGACCGGAAAATGAGGAGCAGAACAGAGCACCAGTTGCGACCCATACGAGAACCATTGGAATTATCCATCCTCCACCGGATATTAGGAGTATTGTTGATAAAACCTCGCAGTTTGTGGCAAAAAATGGACTTGAGTTTGAGAAGAGGATTATTGCAAACAATGCTAATAATGCCAAGTTCAATTTTTTGAATCCATCGGATCCATATCATGCTTATTATCAGCATCGTTTGACAGAATTTCGTGCACAGAATCAAGCTCCTGGACAGCAGCCTACTTCACAGCCTGCGGATTCAGCTGCCCCTGATTCAGCTCCAAAACCTGATTTAGCTGCTGATTCAAATGAAGCAGCTACCAAACCGGATCCTGCAGCCCAGTTTAGACTACCTCCTCCTAAGGTTCTTGAACCCCCAGAAGCAGAGCAGTATACTGTTCGGCTTCCAGAAGGAATTACTGGAGAGGAACTTGATATTATTAAGCTCACGGCTCAGTTTGTAGCTCGAAATGGGCAAACATTCTTGACTGGATTGACGAACAGGGAGATGAACAATCCTCAGTTCCACTTTTTGAAGCCAACCCACAGCATGTTCACCTTTTTTACTGGACTTGCTGATGCATATTCTAAAGTTTTGATGCCTCCCAGGGGTTTGACTGAGAAGCTGACAAAGAGTGTTGATGACATGACCACTGTGCTTGAAAGGTGCTTGCATCGCCTTGAATGGGAACGCTCACAGGAGCAGGCAAGACAGAAAGCTGAGGATGAGATTGAACAGGAGCGGATGCAAATGGCAATGATTGATTGGCATGATTTTGTTGTGGTTGAGACTAGACTTTGCAGACGATGAAGATGAGGACTTGCCCCCTCCAATGACACTTGAGGAGGTTATAAGGAGGAGCAAGATATCTGCTATGGATGAAGATGAAATCATTGAGCCTGGAAAGGAGATGGAAATGGAAATGGACGAGGAAGAGATGCAGCTAGTCGAGGAAGGCATGAGGATTGCAAGTATCGAAGAGAATGATGGTGAGAAAGACACAAGGACAAATGAGGAAGCAGAACCACCTATGAGGATTGTGAAAAATTGGAAGAGACCTGAGGAGAGAATCCCTGCTGAAAGAGACCCAACAAAGTTTGTTGTTTCCCCTATCACTGGTGAGCTAATTCCCATTAGTGAGATGTCCGAGCATATGAGAATTTCCCTCATTGATCCTAAGTACAAGGAGCAAAAGGAAAGGATGTTTGCCAAGATTCGGGAAACTACTCTTGCTCAGGATGATGAGATCTCCCGAAACATAGTGGGACTTGCACGATTACGTCCTGATATCTTTGGCACAACGGAGGAAGAAGTTTCTAATGCTGTGAAGGCTGAAATTGAGAAGAAGAAAGATGAGCAGCCGAAGCAGGTTATATGGGATGGTCACTCGGGAAGCATTGGGCGCACTGCAAACCAAGCTATGTCTCAGAATGCTGGTGAGGATCAAAATGAAGCTGTTAATAATGATGCAAGGAACCTTCCAGGCCCAGCAGCTCCCCCTCCCCGACCTGGTGTGCTGCCAGTCCGTCCCCTCCCTACACCACCAGGACTGCAGTTGAATCTTCTTCGTGTACCTCCAAATACAGTTCAATATTCTGGTTCAGCTGGTGGGGCATATCCTGTACCTCCACAAAGGCCGGCTGGTATTCCAATGATGCAGCCAAATTACCCCCCTCCTCCTCCAATGCAAATGGCATCTGGACAGCAACCCATTATGGTAAATCGACCACCCGCTATGCCTCCATCTATGTCTGGGAATCCAAGCATGCATGTGCCGCCACCACCTGGATCTCAATATAATTCTATGGCAGTTCATCGACCTTTTGTCCCTCTTCCTGTACCCCAACCCGGATTGCCTATGATGCCTCCACCACCTCCTTTGCCTCAAGGAATGCCTCCACCACCTCCACCTGAGGATGCTCCTCCTCCACTTCCAGATGAGCCAGAGCCCAAGAGGCAGAGGCTTGATGATTCTGCGCTTGTTCCAGAAGATCAGTTTCTGGCTCAACATCTGGTATGGATTTTTCTTTTTCAAAATTATGACTCTTATTCTGCATTATTGGATTGGTCATTCCTGATTTGTGTCTGAATGCAGTCTTTCTTCCTTTATCTCACTACATGTTCAACTGATATTGTGCCTTTTATGCAGGGAACTGTGCGCATCACTGTTGCCGTTCCCAATCTTGATGAAGGAAATCTCAAAGGGCAAGTTCTGGAGATTATGATGCAGTCCTTGTCCGAAACTGTTGGCAGCCTGAAGGAAAAAATTGCTGGAGAGATCCAACTTCCTGCCAACAAACAGAAATTGAGTGGAAAAGCTGGTTTTCTCAAAGATAATATGTCACTTGCATATTACAATGTTGGACCAGGAGAGTCTCTGTCTCTCTCGTTGAGAGAGCGTGGTGGTAGAAAGAGATGAAGAGGCTATTCGAAGTGGCCCATTCAAGGTTTTTGATAGAACTTTCTCATCACCAGAGATTTTCACATATTCCTATGGGACTTTGTTATTTTGCTTCCTTTGATGCTATGCTGGAAATTATAATGGCAATGTATTGTTAGTATGATTATATGAATCATTGTTGCTATGTTGAATTTTCATATTTGAACTGATAGCAAGTGGTATCTAATACAGATATGGCGTCATGGCAAGTGTTTCTTTAAGGGCAGTGGAAAGTAGACCAGTTTCTTTTGCCTAGGAACGGCAAGCCATCTGCATACATCACTAACTACTGCTTCCTTCTGCTTTGCAGTTGTTTCTCTGGAAAATAAGTGCTTCATGGTCTTATTTTGTTTTTTTTTTTTTTTTTTTGAGTTCTTGTTATCAATAAATTGATGATATTTTATGGACTCAATTTTTCTTCTCTTTTTTAGTTTTGTCGCTGCAAGTTCTTTTCTTGGTAAATGCAGTGACGTGGATGGTCATTTACTAGAACTAGGCTTTGTTTTGTAGGTAAGTGATTATGCCTGGGCTGTAGGGATGAGTGGGTGCATGCAGATTATACTAAGCACCCAACTTTCTTTCTCTTGTGGAGGGAGTATGCTTCAATAGTTTGTTTCTATTTTCCTGTCATGCTTTCCTTTAACTAGCCAAATAGCTAGCAGTGAGTTGGTGTTTTCTGATACTTTTCTTCTATGGCAACAGAAAAGCAACTAACTTGTAATGGATGGAATGATCTCTGCAACCCAGTGCATTTTAGCTGAGGCAGGTCGGTGATTCACCCATCTCATAAGTAGTGGTTTCTCCTCATGTGCTGAATCATGATCGCAGTGCCTGAACCTGCTTCTTATTCACCCATCTTCTTCTTTTATGCAGTGTTTACTACGGTTCATTGCTATTACAAGGAGGCTGCCGATTGGCTTAAATATTGATTTTTTTTCTTCTGGGATGTGGCTTAAAAATCTTTGTTTTTAGCTGGATATGGTAGATCACAACATTAGGTAGTTTATGGATCTATACAATTGTCTGATCTTTCTGTTCTATAATCCTTTAGTATTTTCTCTAATATGTTGCTCCTTTGTGAGTCGAGAAATTGGAATTAGAAACTGATTTCAATGGTAGCCACCAATAACATTTTTTATTGCCATTTTTTGTTTTTGGCTATTTTGTCTGGGTTCTTTCTTAATCTTTCTGGCTATAAGCTGGTTAGCATGGCAGCATTTCTGGTTATTTGCACGTAGCGGTCTAATTTATTTGCTACGTCCCTGTTGCGTATAAACCATTATCGGAATTGGCCCATCTAACTTGTTTTTCTAGGTTTGGAGTGTGCCTTTTCAGGACTGTAGGTCAGTGCCCTTGGCTGGATTATGAGTCTAACCACCATCGTTCTGCAGGCAACGAGGAGCACGGCTGCTTTAATGTTTCATCTCAGTGAGTGAAAGAGAAGATGAAGATGATAAATCACTTTAAATGACCAGAAGTGGTCTCGGTGAAATCATTATCAATCGTCCACTGTAAGCCAATGGAACTTACTAATTTTAGGCTGGAATTATGCAGATAAGGTAGTGTGGTCACAATCATAATCCATATTACAATTCAAGTGTACAAAGTGTACGAGTTATTTTCAGCAGAGGATTGACCATTTGTAGTGTCTTTCATGTTAGCATTGGGAAGTCATTTTTCTTCGAAGCTGCTATGATTTTGGACGTCTGGAACATCAGCCCCTGTGATTTCTCTTTGATGGATAGAAAGTGGGAAGTCCTTTGATGCCTTGAGCTGCTACGGTATGGCGACATCGTCTCTCCGCCCATTCCGCCTTCTTCCTTGTTCATTCCAGAATGCTATTCCTTCTAAGGCAATGCCAAACTATACAAAACTGCGAAATTCTTGAAGCTAGAAAAGATTCTCAATTAGTGGATTGTTTAATACCAAAAACATATGAATATAACAAGAAAACTAATCACAAAGAAGATAAAGGAGTTCTGAAAAAGATGTACCCTATATATACCCTAAAATTTTATTTTACCGAGATTTGGTTTAAGCGTTTCAAATTAAGACATGTGATATTAAGATGTATTTTTTTTTTAAAAAAAAGAAACACGTCAGTCGATATAAAGCTCATGAAAAGCAATTTAATAGAAAAAGAAGTTTTAATTTCCCATGAAAGATGTCTTTAACATGGACAAAACAATATTGTTTTATAAACTACAACCACATCACTCTCTTACTAAAAAGCAATATAAATGTAAGAAACAAGATAAGAAAAGACTTGTAATTGTTATTTCCTATTATAAGGATGGTTATGATAAAATCCTTTTATGTTTAATTGGCAAGCATGTTAAACCATTGATGTTTTAAGAATGTGAACTTGAATAGATGAATTGCGAGCATCATGCTAACAAATGAGCATGGATGACTGGGATTCTTTTCCAAAAATAAGTTCAACAATTTAGTAAAAAAAATAGATAGTAAAAAAGATCTTTTACTTATTGATAATTGTCTTGCCCATCCAAAAACTATTAAAGGTTTGAAAAATATTGAAATGTTTTCTTGCCACCCAACACAACATTAAGGATTTAACTTTGTGATGAAAGATCATACAATCTTTCAAGATGTATTATCATAATTGATTTTATTAAAATCTTTTAGAAAATAATAAAATTGAGATCCTAAATCCAAATAAAATAAATATTTTAGAAGTAATAAGTCTTGCAATCTCTGCATAAACAACAAAAGTTAAAGCAAATACAGTTGAAAATTCTTTTCAACATTGTAAAACTACATCCATGAATAATGTGGCTTTAGAGAATTTGGATCAATACTTATATGATGGAGGTGCTCAACAATTACATGTTCTAACGAAAACGTTAAAGAATTGTGATAGAATGGGTACTAACTATCTTTTGAACTACCTAGAAGAAAACAGACAATTTTAGAATTACCGAGTGATAAAAAAATTATTGAGATCATGGAAAATGAATAAAAAAAATTGTTAAAAAACAAAGTTGTCAAACCTAATGGAGTTCATGATCTAGATTGCAAGTTTAGTAGATTAAGCTGTAAAGCTTGAGTCTATTCAATAAATTACCGACTTAGTATTAAAAAACATATCATCTTGAATTTATTTTTTAATAGCTAAACCATTTTTTTTACTTGTTGTCTGGGTTGTCTTTAGACCTGCTAGCACAACTAAATCATATTGGAGCAACTCCTACACAGATTATTTTTAGAGTCATGCTATGTAAGGAGTTGGATCAAGAGGTTTCAAGATTAACCTACTAAGTCATGTCCTTTTTTTTCTTTTCTATTTTTTATTATTATCTTTAAAATTCAACCTTCTAATTTTTTTCTTAGGATTAAATATTTATTGAATTGTTTTTCAAATTCATTCATCAATATTTGATTGAATTTTGAATTGATCTTCATAACCTGTTTTTATTTGCTTTCTATAAAGTTATTACAGTCTCAAACAAATATCACAATATTTAATTGGTGCTTGATTTTGTGAGTGTGCATTTTTGTTATCATATCATTTAGTAAAAATTAGTTTTTTTTTAAAAAAAAGTTAACTCAGTGGAATCCATGACTCAGGTCACAAGTTTAGAGGGTTAAGTTATATATCTCAGATCAATCCAATATGTTGTTATCTCAATATTAAAATAAAAAAGACAGCATCTTGATTTAAAAAAAAAAAAAAACAAACCATGCTTTTTAATGATTATATAGTTTATTTTTTGAACTTGTCAAGTTGACTAGATTATGTTAATACAACTCTCATGTAAGTTAATTTTAAACTTGAATGAGTTAAGGAGTTAGGTTGAGAGATTTTAAGATTAAGGTTAGATTTAATAATAATACTAAATAATTTATATGGTCTAATTTTTTTTTTCATGTTCAATTTTTTTTATCTTACCTTTAAAGTAGTGTGTCATCATAAACCGGTAAATAACTAATTGATTATATAAAGACAAAACCCAATTTTGATAAATAACTAATTGATTATATGAAGACAAAACCCAATTTAGTACGCACTAGCATTCTCCCTGAACTTATATATGTGTATATAAATATATTGAATTATTTAATTGTTGAGTCCTTACAATGCCTAACAATAATCAAAGAAACAATTAGAGAATGAAATTTTATCCTAGGATTTAAATAAATCATTAAAACCAAAGAAAAAAAAAGTTGCATTATGTATTTGTTAAATGTATCTCACTCATTATTATTTACACCTACCATTAAGTGGGCATAAAAATGATGGTACCTACATAATTTTTAATTTACCTAAAATCTGTAAATTTGGAAAGATATCCACCATTAATGCTCCAAATCTAAGATAATTAGCATCCCATTAAAAGAAATAATATAGAAAAGTTGTACTTCTGGCTATTTAATGAATGTTCAAAAGTGATTATGTGTTAGAAAATAACACAAATTATATTTTAGGACTTTACTTAAAAGTTTAAGTTTTTAAGTTGAATTGGTTATTTGATATGGTATCATGATGACCAAGTTATCATAAGTTTAAATCTCATCATCCTCATTTATTTAATAAAAAGTAAGCACAAAAAAGCATGGACATATACAAATTTCAAGCCCAAATAGCTTTCACTTGAGAAGGTCTATTAGAGAATAATATAAATTATATCTTGAGACCTCGCCTAAAAACTTAAGCTTTTAGGTTGAATTGGTTCTTTGATATTATGTGTATCAATTTTATTTTTGTTACTAGTAGGCATGAACCAAATATGCCAAAAGAGTAATCTTCAATAAAATTGTCAAACCTAATAATGTTTACTTCTAATTATGGTTGGCATTGTTAGGTTACATGAAACATATATACATAGTGAAAATAATAAATTAAAAATTTTTCTGGAGTTTTAAGGATCACATTAAATACATCTAGAGTAGTTTAGGGTTTATACAAAGATTACATAAAGACTAGGTTTCTTTATTTTTATTTTTGCTTTGAATAATTACTTCAAGACTGCACTATCAGAAATTACAAGTTGTGTAAATATTCGGTCTCTGACGGTAATCCACACAAACTACCAAGAAGAAATATCCTAAACCCTTTTAGGAGATAAGGATTATTATACCTTAAAATTCTAACTCTTTTATTTTGTATTTTAAGTGTTTTTGTATTGTACTCTCCTCATATTTAATCTTAGAAGATAAAAGGCATATCATTCTACTTTTAGAAAAACTTAAAAATCCTATAAATAAATAAAAAAAGTATCAATTTTCTTCTTAAATAATATCACATGAATTATTTTAATCTAATTTTAGAAATTTATTCAATCAAATCCTTACTTGATTATTTCTAGGTCTAGAATTGTAATTGACACGACTAAAAGGTTGATGTCTTCTCCCAAGTGCAGGAGTGTCGAAGTAATAAATAACCCGGCAAGACCGGGGTCGAACCACAGGGAGGTTATTTGTACAAATTATAAACAACAATAATACAACAACAATAACAACAACAA